ACTAAGTTGTCCAGGCTTGCCCCAAACTTACAATTCTCCTGCTTCAGCCTCCTGAGTAGCTGGAATTACAAGCATAAGACACTGTGCTCAGATAGTTAAGATGCTTGGACATAACATTCTTCTTGGAGGCGAATAGTTAGGCCTGGGACTCAAAGGCTTAAAAAATTAGTCAGCATTGGTGCTGTGATGCTGCCTCTTCCCCTACTTGAGAGACACACTGCCTCTCAGTCTTGTGCCCATTTCCCCTGAGCATAGACTTGCTTCATGAACCTTTTCTACCTCGGGCTCCAGAGAGTCACCACCAACCACTGAGAGCAAGTGCACCAAGTGACCCTAGGGTCTATCTGGTACAATTTGAACCTAGGTCCTTATTGATAGCAATTTTAGAAAGGGGCTCACTGATTAAGAACTCTTGCCGGGCATGACAGAGCATGCTTGTAATCCCAGCTACTTGAGAGGTAGAGGCAGGAGAACCTCAAGTTCAAGGTCAGCCTTGGCAACTTGGTGAGACCCTGTCTCAAGATAAAATAAAACCATGTCTTACTTTATAATGAATATTCTGAAATTAAGCAAAAATGTATTAATGGCAGTAATGTGAGTTTGGATTGCTCACTCAAATGAACATTTAATGAGTAATTTTATTAAAGTCTCTTTTGTACATGAACCAAAGACTTAATTCTAGATTTAGAAAGAGTTCCTCTAACACTTTAAAAATCAAGTGCCCTCTTTCAACCTCTGCATTTCCCCACTGGACTTAATGACATCAATTGTTTACAATTTTCTAGAGCTCTGCAGCCATCTTAAAGCTGATATTAACGTTGCTGACCTTGGTCAATATATAAATAATTATGCTTCAGATGACTAAATTAGAAAGCACTCTAAGGGGAAGCCCTAGGAGAAGGGTGCATGGCAGGGTTTTAGGAAGCACGGGAGGTGCAGAGGTGTTCCCAAGGGACCGTGAGGCAGCGTGACTGACATCATGCTCCTGGTTACACTGGGCAGGAGAGTCAGAAGACGCAGAATCATGGGGCATTTGGCTCTTTTCCCTACTTACTTTGACTTAAAGATGGACCAATCAAATGCATTCCTGGGTCCAGAAAGAGCGCTTTGTGGCCGTCACCCAGACCTCACGGCCCCCATGCCTTTTCCCAGGGGGTGTAAGAGCTCTGCTGGGAGTCATGTATCTCCACACCACAAGGCAGGAGCCACTTCCCTCCTAGGACAACAGCAAGAGCAGGTAAGGTCAGTGGTTCTGATTCCCTACTCTACCCTGGGACAGCGTGGGTCTCCCCTCCCTGCTTGACAGTCTTCACCTGCCACTGCCATCAGTTTCAAGGTCTCTTCACCATTTCTGGTGAAGAAATGTTAGGAAGAACTGCTAGAAAGCTAAGTGCAAATAAGCAGGCTGTCTCCTACTTTCTAGGGTAATTCTGCACAGCAAAAAAACGTTCAGAATTCTTTATTGTGCATTATGGAGGAAGTTGTTTCCAAGAGGCTGAATGTACTACAGAAACCCTCGCTGTCATTTCTCTCGGGCATTTACTATCCCTGGGAACTGGAACGGTGGTGAAGAGATTGCTGCTTCTCACAAGGCCGTGACCTTTCCCTAATCCGGGTAAGGGCCAGCGCAACCCATCATTTCTCACCTGCCTCTGGCCCCTGCCTTACTCCTCCATTTCTTACCTCTGCGGCTAGTGTAGGCACCCACCTGGCTGCCTCCCTGTACCCCAGCCTGCCTGCACTAGGAGTAAAGGAGGAGCAGTAGGATGACAGGAGGCTCTCTGGTCAGCAAACTGTCTGTCCCCTCCCCCGCATCCATCCCCTCCCCAGGGCAGGGATGCCAGGCAGTAGTTTCAATCACCATCAGGTTATGTGTGAAAGGCATTTGCAGTGTTCCTGAAATGGATGACAGTGTACCTGTCTTGATATCTGAGCTCTCTGGATGCAGTTATATTCCCAGGCCACCACAGGGAAGGAAAGATAACTGTACCACTGTACAGGAGAAAACACAAAATAATTACAGTATGATCCAAGAGACAATATGGGTTAACTGTTTTTACCAAGTTGTGTGACCTAAAGTAGTTTCCATAACCCGATCAACACTCTGGTCATTAGAGCCTTCATGACTGTATACACATTCCTCACCTGTTTAAAAAAGATTTAGACTAAGTACACAAATAACTGTGCTGTAACAAAGAATAAGCTAAGCACCACAAGGCATAGACACAGTGCCCGAGTGAAGTGTGTGTCTTAGTCACTTTTCTTATTGTTAGGACAAAAAACCCCACAAAAAAACAAAAACCTAACATCTGAAACTTTAGAAGGAAGAGAGGTTCATTTTAGCTCAAGTTTCAGTCCATGGTTGGCCAGCTCAGAAGAAAAACAGCATGGCAGAGGGGCATGGAAGAAGAAAAGCTGCTCACATCATGAGGCCTGTAAAGATCTAGGAAGGAAGATGTGGCATTCCAGGCCATGCCCCAGTGACCCACCTCTTCTGACCAGACCCTACCTCCGAAGAGCAAGTCAGCTGTACAACCCATAATCCAATCACTCTCCAAAAGCTCCACCTATGAGCACCTGAGGCTCTCAGGGGACATCTAGATATAAACTATAACAGTGTGTCACAGTCCAACTGATGCAGTCATATTAGGCCAAAAGTCACTAGCAGGCTGGAGAAACGCAGCTGGGTTAGGGGGATCCTACTTGAAAAGCAAAGAAGACATCATTGGGTAAGACCCACAACAGCTTGTGGTTTCAAACTTTAGCTCAAGAGAATGCAACATCTCTAAGTGTGCTGACAAGGCCCAAGGCTCAGTAAGAACTATATACTCAAGGATCACTACAGAGATTGGAAATGGGCAAAATCCTGGACCCTTACCTGCTGCTCATTAAAAACATGATTTATGTTCTCTCCCAAGACAGCCAGGATGTCAAAAGCCATTTTTGGTAAGAACCATGACTCTTCAGTTGGGCCCAGAGATGCCCAATAGGTAACTAAAAGCAGAACAAAGTTTGACTTTCATTTTGTATCCTTTGTTGCTGTAAAACTTGGTGAAAAATCTCTACACATAGATATGTTAAGCATTTAGGGATGTCTTTTGTTGCTGTGAAACTTGGGTCAAATCTTTTCACAACTCTACATATCTTGGTATGTAATCTTTAGGGAGTGTAAGTCTAATAGTTGGCCAAACAAGGTTGAAGAGACCTGAATTTACATAACGTCACGCCCCTCACTATTGAGGACATCAGACCAGGTGATTTCCAGGAACATATGCCTGAGAATTCTCCAGCCTTTGTCCTGAACCTGCCATCACCATCCCTAGGCCACAAAGAACCACAACTGTGACACCAGGACTGAGATAAAGATCAACTCGACCCCAGCCCACCAGCTAATCCTTGAAAGCTGGCCTTTGTGGGGGACCAGTCTGAACCCCTTGGATCAGCATGTACCCTCTCCAGCCAACTAAGCTGGAATCCTTTCCTGTCTTTCCTCTAACTTTGCAACGAAGAACTTCTCCAACTTTTTTCTGTAAATCTGTGCTTTAGTTTCTATTCCCATTATTACTAAAATCAAGGACCCAAGCTCTCTGGAGACACAACCCTACAGCTACCTATCCTGGTGGAGCGCTACAGCTCAAACTCTCAGCCACTTCCCTGAAGTCCACCTCCGGCTGCTCTAAGCAGAAAGCCCAGAAAGATGCCTTCTGGGGCTCCCTGAACCGCTTCCTCCCCCATCCCTCTCCTCCTTTCTGTTCTCCCCTCCCTGCTTACCGGTCTCTGGAGATAGTGCCCTGTCCTCTCCTGAACTCGCCCCTATCTACCTGGTGGGCTGGGGTTTGGGGAGCTTTGCCTCATTCCTGCACGCAGCCGTCCTCTAACCCCAGGGAGCTGATTTCTCAGCCTCTTTACAAATGTCTTCGTGTCTCTCCTTAAGCTCCACCACACCTCTGAGCTCTTCCCCAAACCTGACTGGGACAGACGCGCCGCGCGTGGGTAAGGTGCGTGGTCGCGCGTACGTGTATACATACGCTCCGGCCTGTGTGCTCCGTGCGCTGAGAGGGAAAAAGCGCCCAATCCGGGCTCTGCGTCACTACTGCCCTTGGCCAGAAATGGGGTTTACTGGTAGTATTTAATCCCTAGAGAGCACTTAAACCTTCGCTGCTTCCCCAGGTCCCCGATTTTCTGGCCTCTTGTGCATCCGTGTTGAGGTTCACTCTCTCCCAACCCCAGGACAGGAAGAAGGGGTGATGCTGGGCACAGCGGTGGATTGGTCGCCTCCCTCTTCCCGTGTTTTGCGCAGTCTTCCCCAAATCCCTTTCAGAGGGAGAAGGCGAGAGTGCTGATGAGGCGAGGCTCCTGCGGCGGGCATTGCCACCTGCTGAGAGCCGCTGGGGCAGAACCGGCGGAGGCAGCGCCACCTGCTATAAATAGGCCGCCAAGGACGGGGTGTGCGTCCGCGCATCCTGCTGCTAGGGCCTCAACCCCGCGCGAGGCCCGGTTACCTCGGAGCGCGCTGGGCTGGGACCCTGCGCAGGGGATGGAAGGCAGGGGGCGGCCCAGGCTCCGTCCCCACCCCCTCCCTCGGTGGTCGCGGGAGCCCGGGACGCGGAGGATGGACGGCCGGCGGGTGGGCGGGCAGGGGAAGGGCGTGGGGGTCGGCGGACCCGCACTGCAGCAGCTGTTGCTCGCCTGTGGCTCCCAGGTCGGGGCAGTCACATGGCGCCGTGGGGAGGGGGGGGCACCGCGTCCCCCTCTCGGCTCCCCGGGGACGGAGTAGGGAGATCCCGGCTTCTGCCCTCCCCTCGCCTCCCCCGCGCTCGCCCAGCCCGGGAGGAGGAAACGCTAGCCGCGCGCAGACACCACCTCCTCCTCCGCCGCCGCCGCCGCCGCCCGCACCGCGGCGCCTGTTGCTGCGTTCGCCGAGGGACCAACCGGGTCCTCAACCGCTGGAAGAGGCGGGGGACGGCCGCGCTCCCCGCTGCGGCCCGGCTCCCGGGAGAGCGCAGCCCGCGGCGCGATGGACGCCCCCAGGGTGCCCCCGACTACCTGCGAGCCCTGGCGCGGCCCGGGGCTCTGAGCGCGCCGTCGCACAGGTAGGCGCCTCCGGCTGCGCCCACGCCACGCTCTGGCTCCTCGGGGCATCCCGGCCGCCAGCACCCCCATCGCCCCACTGCGCGCTCTGCCCGCGGAGAAGCGCGACCGGGAGCCCGGGGGCGTTCCTGCCGTCCTCGCTAGGCGGGGGTCTCTCGGGGCGGGGTGGGAGAGCTGAGAGTTCATGGCCACCTCGCTGTCCCCTATTCGGACAAAAGCCGAAATCTCAAGGTTCCCAGCGCCCGGGAGCCCTGAGAGGCTTCTACCCTGCCCCACCCTCTCCTGCCCACTGGTGCTCGCATCCTCCCTCCCGCCAAATATCTCCCCGGCCATCGTGCTTGTAAGGCAGCCAACCTGGGAGGAGGTGGTCAGAGTGACCCCACGCCACCCTTTTAAAGTTCGGGGTCCTTTGCAGGCAGCAACTTTGGCAGTTCCACCGCTGCTCGTAACATTTCTTTCTATGGGCACATCCTGTACCAGTCATTTTGAAACCCTGCTTAATTGTCTAGAGCTGCTTCCTGATTGTGAGACTCCCTCAAACCTCGCCACACTCTACTGTTTTTCTTTTCTTTTTTAAAGAAGTGTCGTTTTGTTTGAAATCCACCTAGATCTGGACTTCCCTGTTGTGATTTTACTTAAAACGGCGCATTCTCCGGAAGTTGCTTAAAAAGGAAAAGAAATTGAAAGTGATGATAGTTGCTCCCACCAGTTTAATTTTTAGAGGGCCTATACTAAAAAGGGTAGATTTTTCATTTCGTCCATCTCTCATGCTTCCTTTTAGATGATTGGATGATATTTCATTTCCTAAGATAATCAGACCTTGAAAGAGTTTTTAAGTGATCTGATTTAAATGAACCACACCCACGAAACTCAGCTATCTCTACAAATCCAAACTTGTACTTTTTTTTTGCACCAGACTTATGCTCAGCGTACAGGCCCTGATAAAGAGCTTTTGTTTTGGAGTGCAGAAAGGCATTCCCTTTGCCAGATATGAGATAGGACTGTAGGAGGATGTCCCCGCCCCCGGGGTTTGCAGTGTTTGGGGACCTGGCTTTGTGCAGGAGGAGCTAGGCTGGAAGAAAGGAAGAACTGTTCCAAGAGGTGGGGCACGAATCTTGCAAAACACTTTCCACCTGTCTGACTTTTCATGTTCTGTGGCTGGCTTGGGTTAGGGATCTCTGAAACAGGTGGGTTCTGTACCTCTTTTTAGTGTTGAGATGGCTTCCTTTGGTTAGAAAGGAGATGTGCCCTCCTGTCAGCTCCTTCCGGGGAACTCTGAAGTCTGTCTTAAGGAATCAGGAAATTGCTTGAAAAAGTTTGTAAATAGGTGATTTATGACTTGTTTGAAATGGAAGTCGATCACACTCTTCAACCTGCCTGTTGATGATTTTTCTACCTAATTATAGAGATAAGGCCCCCACCAAGTGCTTTCTCTCCAGATTTATCTCTCAGCAACCATTGACATAACATGAACTGAAGGTACCGCTGTGAGTTTAAGGGTCCCCTTAATGTTGGTATAGATGGAATGTCCTTGACACTTTTTTTTTGGTGGTGGTGGTAGTGGGCATTGAACCCCAGCTCTTCATGTCATAGTATTATCCCATAAAACATCTCCCATAAAACATCTCATAGTATTAGAAGATACAAATAGGAAATGGGCAAATGTGAAGAAGGGGCTGCCCCTTCTTCCTCGATATCCAGCCATTGGTAATCCCTGGCAATCCGTCCCTGGGAGGCAGCTCGGACCGGGAAGGCTGCAGTTGCAATCATGGTTGCCCTTGAGCAGAGCCAGGTGTGGGTGCATGCACCTTCTGCACCTTCTTCTAGGATCTTCTAGGATGCACCAGCAGGAGGGCTGCCTGAGGTTTTGGTCACCAGTTTCTTAGTAGAATAAGGAGAGAGCAGAGAGCATGGAGCTAGAGGACTCTGTCTCTGAATGTGCTTTTCATTTTATCTCAGATGACAGCCCCTTCAACCCTGTACTGTGCCCTTCACAGTAATACTCAGTAGACCCCAGGCCCCACACTTTGCAGCTTCCCCAGAGAACCTAAAAGGTATATGAATCCATTTGGGAACTGCATGCATATATGTGAGTGTCCGGGCACAGTTTGCTTTGCCCTTTCAGTGTCTACTGTGCTGCCCTTCTCAAGTTTAATGGCCATGGTAATCCCCAGCCTTCAACTATTTTCCCAGTCCTTTTCTCTTCCTGTTCATTAAAACTTCCAGGAGTAGAATTTGCTCATTAAAATGACTGAGTTTTCCCGGCCACCAGAGAGTGTTGGAATTCACATCCCCGTAGTTATGACAGAGGATTTAAGAGCTGTTACTTTACAATTTCCTTTGCTGACTTCCCCCTCATCTCTTCTCTTCCAATCCTACATTGTGATAAAAATATTTTAAATGAGATTCTTCACAAATAATGTGATAGTTTCCATTTTCAAAGTTTTTGACATTTTCAAGCCAAAAATTCCATTTGATGGGTTCTTAGATGTAAGGACAATGGATCCCTTTTCAGGTTTCAAATACTCAGGAAAAATTTCTCATCTTTGGGCCATATGAAAAAAAAATCTTGACATTTGGATTTCAGAGAAACTGTGAATAATGTAGGAAATATGTTTTAGCACTAACAGGCCTTTAATTTTAAGTGTTTTTGTTTCCTTTGGGATAACAGTAACTTTTTCTCTCAAAAATAATGCACTTATTTGATAACACATTATATATGACCAGGGAATCTTAACTTCCAAGTAGGTAAGCACTTATGTGTTTGCTGTTAGAATTAATGAACATATACAGCATGTAGTGAGCACTCAAAATTACTTATTAATATTATTATATTTTTTTTATTGTACATGATTGTAGTACATAACTGTATCAGTCAGTGCTCACTAGAGAAACATTTATGGATTTACAAGGAAGGCTTACAGTGGCTGCCTGCACAGTCAGGCATGGGAGAATACAAAAGGGCTGTCTGCACCCTAGAGAGCCAAAGGATCCAGTCAGAAGTTGAAGGCCTGAAGCTCACTGTAGAGTCCCATGCAAGTCTGTATCAGGAAGCAGAAGGATCTACGATGGAAGGCTGAAGAGTCTGCAGTGGAAGTCAGGATGGATATCCTGAGCAAAGACAGAGATGAGCTCCTCCAAAGAAAAACAGAAGCAAGTCTTTCTACTTCTTTCCCCTTTTTATTTCATTCAGGCTACAAGCCTATGGATTAGTGGCACTCACACCCAGGGTGGGTCTTCCTTCTTCCTCAGTCCCTTCAGCCACACCCAGAACTCTGCTAAGCCAGTCAGTTGGGAGTTTCTTACTCAAGCTGACACAACAGTTAACTAGTACAGTAATGATTACATTCATCATGGGGAGCTGGTACATGACATATCTTATTTCTTATCCCCTTCTCCTCTGCCTTCCCCTCTTTTGTTTTTAGAGTATAACTTTGACATTAAGATTGAATTGCTGGGGGCTGGGGATTTAGCTCAGTGGTGCCACCGTCTGCCTTGCAAGCGCAAGGTCCCGAGTTCGATTCCCAGTACCAAAAAAAAAAAAAAAAGATTGAATTGCTGAAGGCTATGTAAAGTTTAGATAGAACAGCCAAGCTAATCCATTAGAAAGATATTAAGGATTGTCTTCATCCAAAGATATTGTTATATTGGAAAGAACAGAAGTTGAAGACAATTCAAGTTCTGACTTTACCATTTTCTAGTGAAGGGAACCTTTTGGTAAAATGAGAATGATAAAGCTCACTTCCTAGAGTTGAGAGAACATGGAAGGCCATATATGTAAAATGCCCAGGAAGAGGTAACTGGTTGACAGGTATTCCTCCTCTAGCAAAGTGGTTAAGAGCAAGCATGAACTCTGGGACCAAAGGATCTGGGTTCAAATCCTGATTCTGCCAGTTTCTACTAGTTTGACTATAGGCAGGTATCCTCATTTCCGGTGCAGCCAGCTTGCTTCTGGTTCATAATTATCCGTAGTGTCCAAGGCTGTTGTGAGAGTTAAATCTATGTGTTAACTGTTCTTATGACTACTTTACTTAAAGCAACAAGGAGGTGGGAGGATTATACATAGCCTCTGAAGGCCAGCTAGGTCCCATGTCCTCTATCCTTTGTCCTGTGCACTGAAGTATAAAAGAATACAAGAAATGACTAATGCAGGGTGGGGATTTAGCTCAGTGGTTCCACCGCCTGGTTCGGAAACACAAGGACCCGAGTTCAATCCCCAGTACCAAAAAAGAAAAAAAGAAATGACTCAAGGACATGCTAAAGGACTGGGCTTAAATTGGCTCTGGTTCATGTAAGAAGGAAGTCACTCAAAAGCATCCATATTTCACACATCAAATTAGAGAGGTATAGCCTGGTACTAAGGCAGGATGATGGAAGGGTTAGAGCCTTGTGCTTCAGGAGCTCTGTGTGCTGGGATGTAGCTTAGTGTAGTAGACACCCCCACCCAGTTAACTGACAGGCTGTAATGGCACAAGCTTCTTTCTTCCCCATAATTTGGTCCCACCAATGCCTACGTACTCACATAGGGACATCAGATGGCAGTTAGGTGAGCGCAGCTCCTCTGCCAATGGCTGCCATGGAGACCTAAGTCTCTCGGTCTGTGAAGCAGCAGGGCCCCGTTGAATTAGCATCCAGCCAAGGTCCGTGTGACCCCGATTAAATTCCTTTTCCTGAATTAGGGCTTACCCAGTTCTGGTAAAAAGCAGTCTCCCTTTTACAGCCCTACCTCTGATCATCGTTATCACCAGATGTCTCAAGCATACCCTGCTGTCCTTCTTTCATGCTTGTAATCAATAAATACTGGAGGTCTGGGGGGCCTTTTGTCTTCGTTGCTCAGAGTAGCTTAGACCATCTCAGATCCAGCTTTCTCTTTGTCATGTTTCTGCATCTTTCATTCTCTCTCACATCATATTGCCTTGCAGGAGATTGAGACCCACTGCCAGGGTCCCCTATAGCTTACTGCTTCAGGAATTGTCCTGCCTTGGGCTGCTGCTTGGGAGGG